CCGAAATAGCCCAACGGATTAGTAAGCTGAAGTGGCAGTGGGCCGGCCATATAGCTCGAAGAACCGACAACCGATGGGGAAGAAAGGTTCTCGAGTGGCAGCCTCGTACCGGTAGGCGAAGTGTAGGGCGTCCCCCCACGAGATGGAGTGACGACCTGGTAAGACATGCAGGAAGTCGATGGATGCAGGTGGCTCAGGACCGTGCTTTGTGGCATTCTTTGGGGGAGGCCTATGTTCAGCAGTGGACTTGTGTAGGGCTGTAATGATGATGATGATGATGAAGCTAAAATCCGCCTTCAAAGACAGCGCGATGCAAAATTCTTAAAATTAGCCATGAGATTTCAACATTTCTTTTTGAACATCTAATCATTCCTAAGAATAATTCGTTTGTTGTCTTATTTGGAGTTCCCTGTATAGTCATATCGATTAAATAATTAAGAAAATTAATAATAATATTAAAATATTTAATTAATCTCCAGCACAATTAATAGGATTTATTCCAGTTAAATATAAATGTGATAATTATCGGCACTTTATGTCTGTAAACTAATATCTTACTGTATTTTGTTACTGCTATTTTAAATTCTTGCTGCTAAAATATATGGAGGGACGAGGCTGCTCGCGACCGTAGGAAATACTTGAAATCTGACACCCTACACGTGCCCCCCGGGTAGTGCTAAACGAGAAGCACCATTTCCGGTGGTAGGTTTCGGTCGCTGGCTTTTCGTTTACCACCCACCAATGCAAAGTCTTACCGCTAAATGACTTTGTCGTGTTCCGGCATGATGCTTGGTGAAGCCATATGGAGAATGGGTCTGAACAGTAGTGTTGTGTATGTAAACCGGGTACGAAGCGTGTGTCAGGTGCTTGGTCTTGGAGGGTAGCGGAATTCGAAACACGGTGTTCCGCTGGCCGACTGCAGGTAGTTGGGGGCCCAATAAGTGAATTAGCTACTCATGAAAGGCTTCTCCGCCAACTGGCGAAAAATTCCAGGGTGGCCCCATCGTGCCGGTTACCGACCGGGCGAGAGGACCCGATGGCGATCTCTGGGGGGATCGGGCGTCCCTGCAGTCTCCAGATCAGGCTCCCATGGGTACTGTAGCTCTGATAGTATCGTTTGGTTGCTAATGCAACGCCTCGCTCAACTGCCATTTTCCATCCTTATTCACTCTCAACACTTAATATGTACATAAAAAAGAAAAGTAGTGTTAAACAGCGGTTACATGTCCTCTCACTAAAAGTGCACCACACTAATATTCGAGAATTGCACTCTAATGTCAGCGCAGCCCATCACCAACTTGAGACTGAAAAGCCGCACCTACTTATCTTGACAAAGACGCAAATTGGATGTCCATTGAGTGCGGCGTACCTTGACTATCCTGGAATCTCCTTGGAACACAAATTCCATCCACGTGCCGGAGTATGCGTGTACGTCCGCAATGATATCTGCTTCCAGCGTCTCTGTCACCTTCAAGACCCCACTTTTTCGACAATCTGGTTGATGCTAGATACAGGTATTGATAAAATCCTTTATGCCTGTTGTGGTATATTGTTTGTAGTTTAGTATCTCATATGTTTAGCTTTAGATATAGGGTAGACTCGAAAAACTATTGTAAGACGATTTCGGGCGGTGGCAGTCTCGCAATAAACGTGGAACAATTAAGAGTGTCTAATTTCGCAGTAGCGACGAGGAATTTTATCATAATAAAATATGGCAAACATGGGTAGAATCGGAGAATTCGATGTTTCAAATGGCAATTGGAGTTCATATTGTGAAAGGTTGGAAATGTATTTTTTGGTTAACGGCATCAAGGAAGAATTAAAAGTACCTACGTTGATATCTGTGGTTGGCGAAAGTGGATATGAACTGATGACTAACCTGTGCAGCCCAATTAAACCCGCTAAAATGAAATATGACGATGTTGTAAGAATAATGAGCGATTATTTGCAACCAAAAGCGTCAATTCTAGCAGAGCGCTATAAGTTTCGCCAACGTAGGCAGAGTGAAAACGAAACAGTATCTCAGTTTGTAACGGATTTATAACGTTTGGCAAAATCGTGCGAATTCAAAAACACTTTGGAAGAAAATATGAGAGATCAATTTGTGTGCGGCCTACGCAGTGATATGGTGCGTCAACGACTTTTTGCTGAGGATTCTTTAACTTGGACGGACGCAGTGAAATTAGCTACGTCAATGGAAGCAGCCCAGCGTGACTCATCAGTGGTAGATTGCACGGGCCGCGGCGCAAGCACCTCTGGTATCGCCATTGCGAACGAAAATTTAACGAGGGTAGTAAAACTGGAGCGACAAAGGATGAGCACGGCAGACTATCAAGTGACCGAAGTGAATAGGGTGCAAATGAGTCCCTGTACAACGTGTGGCAGTTCCCGCCATATTTGGCGTCAATGTCCGTATCGTAACTACAAATGTGATATTTGTGGCAAAATTGGACATTTAAAACGGGTGTGCTCGCTCGGTGAGAGACATCAAAATAAAAGTACCAACAGGCGAGTGTGGACCTCGAGTACGGGATCAACTGGCATGCGCGGTTCAGCGCACGGCAGAGGCACTGGCTCCGGCGTGCGGCACTGGCAAGGCTCCGTGCGTCATGAGCGCGCCCACCACGTAGCTGAGGGGGAGGAGGACCCCTCCGCACCGGCATCGGCAAGCGAGGGCGAAGAAAACGAGCATCCAATGTTCCAAATGTATTTGAGGGACTACAAGCCGGTTAGCATTACTATTAGTGTTGATAATAATGTATTATTAATGGAGATTGACATAGGCTCAGCATTATCTTGTATAAGTTATAATTTGTATATAGAAAAATTTAAACATTTGGCATTGTTACCCTGTAAATTAACACTTTCATTTTATGACGGCAGTAAAGTTCAGCCAGCCGGTTATATAGAGGCCCCAGTACAATACAATAGTAAACGTAAAATACTTGATTTGTATGTAATAGAAAATGGGACAACCATATTGTTGGGAAGGCAATGGTTAGCTGAATTGGGGATTGATATCCCAAAATTTCATGTAAATAGAATAAATTGTACACAAAACTGTGATAAAATGGAAAGTTTAAACATGTTATTCGACAGATTTAAACACTTATTCGATGGCGGTCTGGGGCGGTTTAGCGGTGGGCAAGCAACGCTGCGCGTCCGGGCCGGCGCCGCGCCGGTGTTCTGTCGCGCGCGGCCGGTGCCGTACGCGATGCGCGAGCGGGTCGATGCCGAGCTGGACGCCATGCTGCAGGCCGGAGTCATCGAGCCGGTTGACGCCTCCGATTGGGCCTCACCTTTGGTATTAGTAAATAAACCGGACGGGTCGCATCGTATTTGCGCAGACTATAACATTAAACCGTGTCTTACTGGTGGATAAATTTCCGCTTCCCAAAATTGAAGATTTACTATCGAATCTTAGCGGTTGTAATTGGTTCAGTAAGTTAGACTTGTCCCAGGCCTACAACCAAATAGAATTAGATGGGTCACAAAAGTACACTGTAATAAATACACATAGGGGGCTTTATATGTACAATCGTCTAGTTTACGGTTTGGCTTCCAGCCCCGGTATTTTTCAAAGAATCATGATAAATCTTTTGAAGGATATATCTAACACAGTGGTGTTCTTAGACGATATTTTGATTTATAGTGTATCTGAAAAAGATCACCTAGATACATTGCGTAAGGTACTGTTAAGGTTAAGCCAAAACGGGTTTAAAATTAAGAAACAAAAATGCGTATTTTTTGCGAACGAAGTAAAATATCTCGGTTACATTGTAAACAAAGACGGTATAAAAGTTGATAACGAAAAGATAAAAGCCATTTTAAATTTACGTGAACCTAATGACGCATCTGAATTGCGGTCATTTTTGGGAATGGTTAATTTTTATTGTAGATTTATAAAGAATTTAAGTTTTTACTTGAATCCATTTTACACACTTTTAAAAAAAGGTAGGTATTGGTTTTGGGGGAAAGAGCAAAAGCAAGCGTTTCAGAATGTGAAATTATTATTAAGTAAAGCTGAGGTGCTAGATCATTATTACACGCGGCTGCCAGTGGTGGTGACGTGCGACGCCAGCTCGCGCGGGGTGGGAGCGGTGCTGGCGCAGCAGCGGGCCGGCCGCGAGCGCCCAGTCGCGTACGCTTCGCGAGCTCTCACGCCCGCAGAAATAAATTACAGCCAAATAGAAAAAGAGGCTTTGGCGATTGTTTTCGCATTAAAAAAATTCCATCAATATTTATATGGGCGAGAATTTGTACTTAGAACGGATCACAAGCCCTTAGTGAGTATTTTCGATCCCGGGCATAGTATTCCTAATATGACGGCTAGTAGACTACAGCGCTGGGCATTAATTGTATCTTCGTATAATTTCACGATTGAATTTATAAGTTCCGAGCGTAATACGGCCGACGCGTTATCTCGTATGATAAAAACTTATAAAGAAACTGGTTCTTGCGAACAAAGCGACGAACCGGAGCAAACGTATTTGCATTTCGCGACGGAAGCGTTACTCTTAGACTATAACATACTAAAAAAAGAAACTGTACATGATCCTATTTTAAGCAGAGTTATTAGTTATATAAGAGACGGCTGGCCAGGAGAATTGGATATTAAAGAATTAAAACCTTATTATAACAGAAAAAACGAACTATATACGGAACTTGATTGCGTAATGTGGGGCCATCGTGTTGTGATCCCGGGCGTCTGTAGGTCTAAAGTTTTAAAATAGTTGCACGACTCAAACACGGTTAAAACATAAGGGTTAGCGCGCAGTTACGTATGGTGGCCGGGAATAGATGAAGATATAGAGAAGTTATGTCGGTCGTGTCAGGTGTGCTTAGAGGTGGCGGACGCGCCTCCTGCCCATGCGATTCGCCCGTGGCCTTGGCCAGATCGTCCTTGGTCCCGTTTACACATAGATTTTTTCGGCCCAATCGCAGGGAACACGTACTTAGTCCTAATTGACGCGTGCACTAAATGGATAGAGGTAATAAAAATGTCTTCTACCAACGCTAAAGCGGTGATAAAAGCGCTAAGAGAAATATGGTCTCGGTTCGGTTTACCAAAACAATTAGTTTCGGATAACGGTGCACCTTTCACAAGTTTAGAATTTAAACAGTTTTTGGAGAACAATGGAATACAACACACGTTTTCTGCTCCATATCATCCTTCGTCCAACGGAGCGGCCGAAAATGCAGTTAAAACCTGTAAAAAAGTTATAAAGAAAGCCCTTTCTCAGAATTTAGACGTAGACACGGCTCTCCTTAGATTTCTATTAGGTTACAGAAATACCGAACATTGCACTACAGGAGAAAGTCCGGCAAAATTATTACAAGGCCGTTCGTTGCGGATGCGACTCGATTGTTTAAAACCGGAGCGCGCAGATCGCGTTAATGCAGCGCAAAGACGCCATCAGTTGGCAGCAGGCGGGTCACAGCGGTGTTTTAACGAGGGGGATGAGATTTTATACCGTAACTACGGCACGGGTAAGAAATGGTTGGACGGAAAAGTTCAGTTGCGGCTAGGTAGCACTGACTATGAAATTTTGGGCATCGATGGAAGTTCACATCACCGACACGCAGACCAGCTAAGACACAGGTTTAATTTTCCTTTGCAAGACCCGATCACGATTAAAGAGTCATCCAGGTGTAATTTAATAAATCCGTTTCTAATCAACGTAACTAGTAATACTAATAACCCAGGGGAAGATCCGGCGGCGTTGGCCGGCACGATGGCGGGTGCGGCGGGAGCATAGCGTGGCATGGCATCGCCTGATATTAATAATGCTTTACAACCACAATATTTTGAGCCCGAATTAAACCGCCGTTACCCTGTAAGAAACAGACATCCGCCAGTGCGGTTTCCTTCATTAACATAGTGATTTATTTTATATATATAATTTGGGTATCTCGTGTTACGGGAATTTCTATGTCATAGAATAAATGTTTAAGATTAAAATAGTTTTATATAAAAGTTAATTAAGTTTATTATTTAAGACATTTATATGGTATTAAGGGTGGAGGTGTCGTATATTGTTTGTAGTTTAGTATCTCATATGTTTAGCTTTAGATATAGGGTAGACTCGAAAAACTATTGTAAGACGATTTCGGGCGGTGGCAGTCTCACAATAAACGTGGAACAATTAAGAGTGTCTTATTTCGCACCTGTGTCTATCGATCGCACAGCGGTGACCAGGAGACAACACGATTATTTGATCACCTTAGTGAGGTTGCTGACGTAGCCCTAAATCGGTATCCTACTGCACAGTTGGTCTTTCTGGGGGAGTTTAACGCTTGTCACCAAGACTGGCTGTTCCCATACCAAAAGACCGACCATGCTGGAAGTGAAGCGTGGAATTTTGCTTTGACGCTAGGTCTTTCACAGATAGTAAACCGACCGTCTACATCGGGTACCCTAGCCACTAGGGTACCCGATGTAGACGGTCACACAGCAAATTGCTTAGACCTTCTGCTGACTACCGAACCAGACAGATATGAAGTACAGGTAACTTCTCCTTTGGGTACATCTGACCACTGTCTGGTGAAATCTGTATCGTCATATTCTGCACCTGATTACGAGTCCCAAGGTGTTCGACGAATATGGCGGTATAAGTCACCTGATTGGGATGAGATGCGATACTATTTTGCATCTTATCCTTGGCGGGAGGTTTGTTTCTTTTCTGCGGATCCGTCGAGCTGCGCGGTTGCGATAACGGATGTGTTGCGTCAAGATTTGGAGTACTTTATCCCCTTTTCTGACGCTCCCACCGGTAGAAAAGCTCGCCGATGGTTTAACGCTGAATGCGCCCAAGCTGAAAAGCGCAAGCATTTAGCTTACCTATCCTGGGTTGACACTCGAAACCGCAAAGCTCCGGATATTAGCTCCAAGAAGAGAACTTTCAACCAGACCGCCAAGTCCTACAAAAAAGCATTACGGAAAACTAGCCTTGATCGCATTAAACATATTGGTGCTAAACTCTTTGCCAGATCATCCGGCACTACAGCTTTTTGGTCTCTTGCCAAAGCGGTCGAGACAAACTTCTGTCGGCCTACACTGCCTCCGTTGGTAAAATCGGATGGCACACTGGCTCATACGGCTAAGGAGAAAGCGAACTTGTTCGCGTCTCTCTTTGCCTACAATTTACGTCTGGACAGTGGCAACAACGTTCCACCAAAATTACCTCACTGCGTGATCTCTATGTCGGAGATTCGTATAACGAATGAGGAGGTTCTTAAAACTTTGCGGTGTCTAGACGTGAATAAAGCTAGTGGACCAGATGGTATAACAGCTATAGTCTTAAAGGCTTGTGCACTTGAGTTGTCTCCTGTGTTGACACGCTTGTTCCGTCTCTCATTTAGTACTGGAATAGTGCCAAAATCCTGGAAGCTGCCCAACGTGCAGCCTGGGTCGGCGCGGCTGCCTTTTTTTGGAAAGGCAGCCTCGTCGACCCTGCCAATTATCAGCCAATCTCAATTACCTCCATACTCTGCAAGGTTATGGAACGTATAGTGAATGCCCGCTTGATGGCATACCTAGAACAGAATGACTTCCTTAGTGACCGGCAATATGGATTTCGCCGAAATCGGTCAGCTGGCGACCTTGTAGCGTATAACAAACACGTATGGGGCGAGGCACTCGAGAACAGTGGGGAAGCACTTGCTGTTTCCCTTGATGTCTCGAAGGCCTTTGACAGAGTTTGGCACACTAGCCTTTTGGGTAAGCTTCCAGCGTACGGCTTATCCCCTGGTCTGATTGAATGGGTAAAGGACTTTCTGAGTGAACGGTCTCTCCGGGTCGTCGTCTATGGCTGCTCATCCGATCCTATGGCGACTACCGCCGGTGTTCCTCAGGGGTCCGTTGTCTCCGCAACTCTCTTCCTGCTGCATATTAATGATCTGCTTATGCCCGGTATCTTTGGGTATGCAGACGATAGCACAGTTGTTGAGAGATACCAACCGAGTCTTCGGGCCAGTCGGGATCAAATTCAGTCCGAAAGAGAAGCTATGGAAAAGCGTGTGAATCTCACACTACAGAGAGTCTCCGATTGGGGCGATGCCAATCTTGTGAAGTTCAACACCTCCAAAACACAAGCGTGTCTCTTCACTGCGAAAAGGAGCCAGCACATCTTGGCTCCTTCTTTCCGAAATGTATTACTGAAATATACCAACCACCTTCAGTTATTAGGGTTTGAAATATCCTCAAATTTGAACTTCGGGCGGTTCATTGAGTCCAAGGCCAAAGTAGCTGCAAGGAAGCTGGGAGTTCTTGCAAAGGTTAAATTAATAAAACTATTATTATTGGTAGAGATTGCCTCTATTGTCGGATTCACTAATTTAAATTAGTTAGAACTGATCCCAAATTAAATGTCAAATAATTACGCTGCTCAATATAAGCAGTTTTGGTAGCAAAAAACTTGGCTAAGTTTGAATGTAAATAATAAGATAGCACATTTGCTACCACTCTTAAATTATATTTGGATAGTTAACTTTTGTCCCAAACTTCTTAATTACATTATTTATGTCAATTTAATGAAATTTTTCATTATTATCATTACTATCATATGTCAAATTTAAATTATTATTACATATTAAATTTTTCATTTGTAAATTTAAGTTATGTCTTAGATTATTTTCCTGTGACAATCCCTGTATATAAGAGAGTGTGAACAAAATAATTTTGTGTACATTTAATTTATTAGGTAGTTCAGTATATTTTAATACTCGTAACTGTTTGTTGTTTACACTGCCTCTTCTATCAACAAAAATTATTATTGTACTAGTTGGGCAAAATTTTATAAATATAATTTTATTTAGGATGTCACTAAAAGATGCTCCAGGCATGCAGCAATTTATAATTTTTGGTCCCTTTAAAGCGTTGCTTAAAATTATGCCTAAATTTTTTCTCACGATAACATTATACACAATTATGTTATTTTTGATTATATTTGAATTATTTTTTATTCAATCTCTTCTCCGATAGTACTGTCGTAGAGTTTTGGTGTTGATATAATAATATTATCAGCACACACCGGCTCTGAAGAAACTGGTATTGACCGCTGACACTCACATTGATATTTTACTAAGGAGTCAAAACCTCATTATATTTAACCAGTTTAACCAGATTCCATGGGTAATCTGGTTAAACTGGTTAAAGGTTTTGAAGAACACATACTGGATATGGAGCCAGTATGTGTTCTCTTATTTCATTTTGGGCTGATTTATATTTATTGGACACAGTTTGAAGGGAGTTAGAATGTAGTAAAATTTCTGATTTAAAGCACTTTACGACAGTCTCATGACATTTTTAATGTTCTTCACCTCAATTGAATACAATTTAAGTTCATGTACCAATGCTTGCTTTTTTTTACATACATTAACATAATTTTGGGTATTTATGTTATTTTTTATTTATTTTTTGGTATTAATCTTATTTTTTATTAATTTTTTTATTTTCTTTATGTATTTATTAACTTTTATATATTTCTTCAAGTTGGTTTTACTGAAATTAATCCTTACTGTTTTTCCTGAAGTGGAAGAGTCGTCACCTGTCAAATTTATTATTGCAGATTGCTTTAATCTTTTAGAATTATTACACTGCACAAGCTCAGAAATGTATGTATTTTTTAAATTGTGCTATTTGCTCATTAGCGTCATTCGACTGTAACTTCAATGAAGCAATAAACCTGAAAGCTTCCTCATATTCCTTACTGCATTGGTCAAACTCATTGACCGTTCCCTGTAGCTGAACGTGTGAATTACTGATTTGTGAATACAGATTCATGTAACCATCTTTTTTAAATGTGGACTCGTCCGACCATAAATTTTTTTCAAGTAATCGTGAAATATCCCTGTTTCTTTCGTTTTGTTTGACAAAAGGCTACCCGAGGCTCATAATCTAGGGAAAAATAAGTTACTTTGTAAACGTGAAGCTTATTTTTTTGCAATTTCCTGTGATCTGCACCTTAAGGCACTCCAGTTCTTAATACTATTGCGCGCACTGAAGTACTCCTGTCTTCTTTGATAGCTTCTAGCACAACATCCTTGTAAGCGAAAGAAGGTCTCCCCTCACCATGGGTTTGGGAGTCTACCCTCTGAGAAGAGTAAAGGGTGCATATTTAAAAAAATTGATGATCCGGATGATTTAGCAGTATTTGAGTAGCTTTCACGATAAAGTCTAACTGCTGCACTAACGTTACATCTGCATTCCCCATAAATAAGGTGCATGTTAGCATGTTCTTGTGTGCTGCACACAAAAATGGTGTTACTGCACAATCACACTATCAACGAAAGTCCACGGTAAAGCAAAGGTCGTCTTAAAGAAAAACTAAACAGACCAAGGTTTTAAATTGTTACATCCGCTCGATAAAATAAAATGGTGAGTCTTACCTAGTTTGAAGAGCATCTCCCGCCCTCCCTCAATTGCGTGCACTATCCTCATCACCACTTATCCCAGCACCACTACTCCAAACACAGTTGTGTCTTTCCTAGTGACACTACACTAGGAAAGACACACCACTGACGACAATACGACACGTGTTTCGCCTCTATACGAGGCATCTTCAGGTGATGTAGACTCTGCGGTGGCTGACCGCTAAGGGAGCGGCGAGCCAAAACAACTGCTATTTACACAGACCGCTGACGTAACCGCTTCCTACTTAAGGAGCAAGCGACTGCGTCATACGATAAAACATGCGATCAATCACCGCCGGACTTACGCAGCCGTTGTAACCGCCTACTCTACAACCACGTAACCAAT